CCGGACACGTCCGAGTACTCCGAGTCGCTGCGGAGGCGGTCACGAGGACTATCCGCGCGTCTGTCGCGATTAGCGCGCGTCAACTCCGGCAGACTCCGGCCGTCGGACTGTGGCTAGGCAGATGCCAAAGTCCTCGTGTCCGCACCGCGTGTCAAAGCCAGACGAAACGGAAGCGTAGGAGACTCGGTAACGCGGCGGAGGTTAGCTCGGGCACCTTCGTCAAACGCTTCGCAAAGCGAATATTCTCGAGCGAGCCTGCTCCTCCGCCGCTCCTCAGGCTCATCGTCCCAGGAACGATAAAGAAAGGAATGTATATATAAAGACGTTGGACGGAACAGATGGAAAAGACCGTTGGAGGGAGACGAAACGAACGATCCCTCGGAACCCCTCCCAACGTTCTAAACATAAAATGTAAATGCGAACGGAATGACTTGGAGCGAGTTCGATTGTTCGCGATCGTTCGATGATCTCGTGACGTCGATCCAGAACGTGGAATGACGTCGCGTAAAACGTGAAGTTGCAGTTTCTCCTCTTCTCTCGGTTCTCCGGTTTTTTTTTTTTGGAACGACGATTTTGGGTACTTCCCACTTGGTGACACGAGTCGACACGATTAGTCACGTTCTATCTTTGTTACTTACTGAATGTTAAGGGAATCTTAAAGCTATTTGTATTACCGGCTAAATCGTAATTTTTGTACAACAAATACTTTTTTTTCTCTTTCACAGATTCGAAATCCCTTTTCCAGAATTAAAGTACGCACATTAATACGTGTTTGGGAGGTGGAATTTATGCCGAGAACGACAAAAAATTTCGAAATTGAAATCTTAGGAAAAATTTTTTGTCGTTCTCGGCATAAATTCCACCTCCCAAACACGTATTAATGTGCGTACTTTAATTCTGGAAAAGGGATTTCGAATCTGTGAAAGAGAAAAAAAGTATTTGTTGTACAAAAATTACGATTTAGTCGGTAATACAGACGGCTTTAGGATCCCCTTAAGGCAGGAACGATATTTGTGTCGACTAATATTACTAGTATCCGTTTCTATCAGTATAAATTAACCTAAATTTCGGCCGGGTTAAAAATAACTCAATTTTTAACTTATTTTTCATTCTTTTCTTATGTCTGTTCAACTTGCTCAGTTCATCTTTTTTCTAATTCTTATGGCTGTTTGTAGATTAAGTTTAATTTCAGTTTAACTAACTTTTTATCTTTTTCTAGTTTTTAGAATTTAATTTCGATTTATCTTTAGAGGATAGAGAGAACCCTGAAACAATCACGAGTTTTGTCGAAACAAGAGCGAGAAAGAAGGATCTATAAAAATCGGAACATAAATTGAATGTAAGGGGAAAGCGACAGAAATACGCGCTTCTTTTAGGTACGTTTGGGTTGTCCCAATTTTCGCATTTCAGAAGCTAATTCATTTACGCTTCTGTCTTATTTTCTTCTTATATTTTTGTTTGACCTGAATCAGCGTCACACGATGTTGTTTTCTTGCCGGATCGCCTATGTCTAGTAAATTCTTAGCATTGCACCACACAGAATGCAGAATTTCTAGTAATTTACTAAAATACAAGTACTCTTAATCGTGTAAGAAAACACGCGTCGTGTGCCACTGGCTTTACACTTCGATCTTTATTTTTGCTAGGATTGTTGTTGAATAACAGCGAAGCTTATCGGAAATCCGATCGTTCTTGAACTCTGTCACGAACGGTTGTTGATTGGTATACCTCCAAGATCGTCGAAATGGCGACGTTTCTGTTTAGGTTTAGGTTATCACATCGTTGCAGATCGACGCACAAAACAGAACTTGTTGCGCGGAACAAGTAAACGAGAACGAGCGAGAACGAGGAAGACGCGATGTGTCGCTCGTGCCGTTCACATAGCTTCGGTCTATTGTTATTATTTATCAAGTCTGAGAACACACCTCACTTACATTATAGTGGATTATCGTCCCCCCCGGCCGGAAAGCGAAACAATCGAAATCGACGAATGACAATCACAACGTTTCTCTAAACTGACATGACGAGCGGTAATCCACGATAATCAGATACCGCATACAGCTGACGTGCGCGTTCATATAGCTTGGCGTGTATATATATATATATATAAAATATATATATGTATATATATATAGCCTCCCGCTTGCGCGGTGCAAGCGATTGACAGTACAAAAAAACCGCAACCAAGAATATAAAGCAGCCAGGAGGAAATATCTGGAATATATGAATTATTAAAAAAAGTCAACCCTAAATACCAGGGTTGAGTAAGTTACCTTTTTTTTAACTAATAAGTTAAGGTAAAGTTAACAGCCTCGAAAATTTAACTTAATTAAAATACAAGTTAATCCATAATGAAATTAATTGGATTAAAAGTTAAGTTAATAAAAAAAATAATTGAAAAGTCAAAAGTTAAATTTGATCCGAACGAACAACCAAAAAAGAAAAAAAAATTTGACCATTTTACATAATTTTTCGTATTTTTCCTTTCTCACAATATATTTATTAAAGAATTTGGTTATTTTTTTGTTCACAAGTAACGATTATACAATATAAAATTACTAAATTATATACTCATTATTTTCTCATATTGTATCTGAAAATTAACTTAAAAAAAAATCAAATTAAAAATTAATAGTTATCGAAAATGTAACTAAATTAAATTAAAAAGTATTATAAATTAAGATTCTAAAATGTAACTTAGTTAAGTTACAATTAATTAATTTTTTAACTTTTTAAATTAACTTTTATCTTTTTAATTTAGCACTATCCAACCCTGCTAAATACATTTTTGTAAACAATAAACAAGGGGAAATGCGAGAAACGCGGAAGAACATAATTGAAGGACTCCGACATTTTTTGCTGCATCGAAAATAATGCAAATAAATGTAGATAGTCGGTTAATTTATATCTTATTATCAATAAATATCTCTTATACGGCTCTGATAAAAGTTGTAAAAAATAAAATAGGAATTAGTACAAATAGAGAAAGAGAGAGAATAATTAAAGGAATACTGGAGCAACGGCTGAACTTGATCGATGTTGATAAAATAGATTTTCCAAGTAAAATATTATAATATTATATAAATATTCGGATATTATATTATTAAATTTATGATTTTTTATTATATAAGTGTGGCATAAATAAGTATGTATACTTGTAATGCTATAATGTGTCTTTTTACTTTTATATTGTCGCAAAATTATAACTCTTTTCTCTAAAGTTATCATATATCCTATATTTGATAACTTTAGAGAAAAAAGTTATAATTTTGCGGCAATATAAAAGTAAAAAGATATTATAGCATTACAAGTATACATACTTATTACTGTGATTTTATAAAATCACAGTACATATATTTACGAAATTAATAAATTATAAAATTAGTATATATTATCAGTTTCTTACTATTAATCACTTTAATTTGTAGTCGTGAACTTCCATAAAATCTGCAATTTTTAATAGTATCTCGTCGGACTAATATTCACTTAAAATAAAAATTTCCAGATAATATAATTTAATTTAATTTTTTGAATATTTTCTCGTTATAGTATTTTGAGTTGCGAATTTTGATATGGAAAGAAATAATTAACCTACGTGGTAATAGGAAACTGTAACTTACAATTTTTTTATTTCTCATACTGGATTGTATTTTTCTACAACTATAATTTGCGTTTTTTTATCATAGAGAAACCTGAAAGTGGACGTCCCGGTCTTTTTCGTGTATCAAATTTCGTAGGGTAATGTTCACGTTTTCGTGGTTCTTTTCCATGCTATTACGAGGGTTAGGCAAGAACGAAGAATCGAAGTTGATTATTCGTTTTTGATATGTACATGAGAAAGGCCGGAATGTCCATTCTCAGGTTTCTCTCTGCTTTTATTTTGAAGAAAGAATTTTTTATTCTATATAAAGAAAAAACGGAAAAAATGGAAAAATACGAAATGCATGTTTCGTCGGTATTACAGACGATTTCATCATTTTAACAAGACCTGTGTTCCAAAGTTGACTGCCAGCACTGGAAATCTATAGTGCACGTGACGTAAACTATAGCATTTCCAGTGCTGGCAGTAAATTTGGAACACAGCCCAAATCACATTTGAACAGTACGGTCACATGACCAATGCGATTGGTCAATTCTATCTCCATCCGAATCCATTTCTAGCATCTTGGATATAAGGACTACGTTCAGCAGAAAACCAACTTTGCAACTAATGTAAAATTCTTTGGCCGATATTCATAGCAGAAAGAAGCCTGAGGCCGGAATCAGACTACGCATTAAAGATTGAGATTGAAGATTGCAGATTGAAATTTGACCAATAAGGACAAAGAAATTTTAACTCCTATTGTTTTGATTGGTCAAATTTCAATCTTTCAATCTTCAATCTCACCTTGCTTTCCAGCAAGGACACAGTCAGACACTGTGTAACACAGTGAGTCGTTTCATCCTTGTTTAACGTTGGCAAACAACAAGGATAAAACGATTCACTGTGTTAGTCCGGATCTACAATAGGTGTTTTAAGATAATAGGTGCCTTAAGCCGTAAGAAATTGACCAATTACAGTCGAATCCGAGGGGAATAATCGACTGTGATTCGCCCATTTTTTATGGCTTAAGGCTTAAAACTATTGTAGATCCGGACTTAAACAGTGTCTGACTATGGCCGGTATTCATAGTCAGATCTTATATTTAAGACCGTCTTAAGTTCAGCCTTGAGGTGTCATGAACCAATCAGAAAGCCGCATTAGCGTCTTAAGACATTGGGCGAGTTCAAGACGGCAAAGCGGCTAGGCGTGCTTACCGAGCGATTGAATATGATTGGTTGGATCTATAAGTAACAACCAATTATGTTCATTTGCTTGGCGAGCAGGTTAGCCGCTTTGTCAAAAAAAAAAATGGCTGCGTTCAGCAGACTCAATAGTTTTGCAACCGTTTTATGATTCGTCACGCTGATTGGATTATACTTTTAGATTTAAAGGAATAGTCCTATCTCAGCGCAGAATCATAAAACGGTTGCAAAACTGTTGAGTCTGCTGAACGCAACCATTACTTAAGACGGTTTGAAATAAGAACCGACTATGAATACCGGCCTATGTCCTTGCTGGAAAGCAAGCTCAATCTTTGATGCCTAGTCTGATTCCGGCCTGATTCCGGCCTCAGAGCGTCATGCCCGGGATTTCAGAGCCCGGGAATCAAAAAATCATGGACATTACCGACGGGATCGTGGACACTGGCTACGTAATTCAATGTCCACGTTTTGTGGACATAGAGGCGCTTCAAAGTAAGGTTGCAGCTAAATCCCGGGCATGGCCACTCTCAGGCTTCTCTTTGTTCAATAGTCGGATCTTATTTTAAGACCGTCTCAAGTAATGTCTTAAGACGCTAATGCAACCTTCTGATTGGTTCGTGACATCTCAAGACCGAACTTAAGACGGTCTTGAATATAAGAACTGACTATGGCCGGTATTCATGGCTGTGTTCCAAAATTTACTGCCAGTACTGAAAATCTATAGTGCACGTAACGTGAACTATAGATTTTCAGTACTGGCAGTAAATTTTGGAACACAACCATAGTCGGTTCTTATTTCAAGATCGTCTCAAGTAATGTCTCAAAACACTAATGCGGCCTTCTGATTGGTTCGTGACATCTCAAGACCGAACTTAAGACGGTCTTGAATATAAGAACTGACTATGAATACCGGCCTTTGATACGATTGATTTGTACATTTGGGTCCAGCGAGGAAGAATTGCAAAGTTACTTTTTCTGCTGAACGCAATCAAGGCTTCGATCTAATGTTACATTCGTCGTACGACAAACGTAATATCAGCGTTAGATCTAAAAATAATTAAGCCAATCGGTGCAAAGTGCTTACTAATGCGGGGTCTACAATAGAAGTCGTAGCGATCGTAAGGTCTTAAGTCGTAGAAAATTGACCAATCACAGTCGAATATGAGAAGAATAATCAACTGTGATTGGTCAATTTTCTACGACTTAAGACCTTACGATCGCTACGACTTCTATTGTAGACCCCGCATTAAGTCGTAGAAAATTGACCAATCACAGTCGAATATGAGAAGAATAATCAACTGTGATTGGTCAATTTTCTACGACTTAAGACCTTACGATCGCTACGACTTCTATTGTAGACCCCGCATTAAGTCGTAGAAAATTGACCAATCACAGTCGAATATGAGAAGAATAATCAACTGTGATTGGTCAATTTTCTACGACTTAATGCGGGGTCTACAATAGAAGTCGTAGCGGTCGTAGGGTCTTAAGTCGTAGAAAATCAACTGTAGTTGATTATTCTTCTCATATTCGACTGTGATTAGTCAATTTTCTACGACTTCTATTGTAGATCCCGCATGTGATTGGTCAATTTTCTACGACTTAAAACCCTACGACTGCTACGACTTCTATTTGGTGCGTTCGGGTAGACGCTAATAGCACTACTCTGTCATTCTATCTTCGTTGTTTATTAGACGTAAAACAAGGATAGAATGACACAATAGCGCTAATAGCGTCTCCCTGAACGCATCTATTGTAGACCCCGCATAAGCGCTCGTGCTGAACGCGGCCAATGGCTGCGTTCAGCAGAACGTTTGTTTTGCAACTGTTGGAAGTTTCCTTCGCGCTAATTGGATCATACTTTTAGATCTAGAAGAATGGTCCTATCTCAGCAGACAATCATAAAACGGTTGCAAAACTGTTGAGTGAGCGTTCGCTGCTATTAACGTATTCTTCTAGATCTAAAATTATGATTGGATGATCTAAAAGAATACACCAATAACAGCGAGCGCTCACTCAACTGTTGAGTCCGCTGAATGAGCCCAATGTGTCTCTTGAATTCTCTAAATCGCGAGCGACGCATCTTCGTCAAGTGCGTGATTCGTGCTCGTTTTTCCCCTCATTACCCCTTTCCGCGCCGTTAAATCACCGCTTCTTGAGCGCACCGCGCACGAATGGACGAACGGACGGACAGGCGGCGGCGGCCATATTATCAGTGAGGTGTCAGTATTTTCCGAACGTGACGGGATTTTTGGGTGTGGATCGTGCGATTTCCTGTTTCGCCGGTTTAGTCGTGGGGTTAGTAGCGCGAGTGTGAGCGCCAGGCGGTCCAACGTCGTGGATGCGGTGCGTCACACGTGTCACGGGATCCACGGGTGCAAGAAGAATCAGGTTAATCAGGTAAGCGCGCGCGCCGTCGACGTCGCCCGACGTCGCCGACGTCGTCACGCGGGGCTTACGTTCGTCATTCTCCTCCTCCTCCTTCGCCGTCATCGTCGTGTCACGAAAAAAAGAGTTTAAGGCTCGATCGCCGAAGAAGGTCGAGTCATCGTCGTAGCGCCGGAGACGTTTGCGGGATTGTTGCCGGTAACGTCGGTTACGCGGCGATACATCCCGGTTACGTTCGATCCTCGTAGAGAATTGCATCTCGCGATCGGAAACGCGTGACGAGAAGAAGAGCCGGAGGACTCCCAGAGTCGGTCAACCGAAGGCGACTCGCGGGGTCGACCTCGTAACGACGACGCCGCGCCGGTTACCGCAAACTTACCTCTTTTTTCCTCGTTCTCGCAGTGCACGTTACAACTCGGAACGTGATATATCCCCGGGAAGGAACGAGGGAATCGAGGTTGGTTCGGTTCACCGGAAAACCGGTTCGATTGTACCGACGTCGGTTAAGCTAACTGCGTTTAACTTAATTTTCTTTTCTCTCTGTGTGCCACGTTTGCCAACGTCGATTCCGCCTTGCCATGATTTGGGCGGGTTGATTCTTCGTAGATCGTATATATGTACGTACATATATGTATATTAATGGATATTTAATTAATTGATAATCAACGATAATCGACTGATTCCTAATTGTTTCATTGTTTGACTTGTAAAGAAACAAAAAATTTAATTAAGTTCGACGAAACTCATTCAATTAGCAAATCATAACTTATTGTAATTCTATATTGAGGTTGGAAAGTAATTCAAGAAAAGAGCGACAGTTAATATTAACGTTTAATTAATTTTCTTTTGCTATATTAGAAATATAAGGGAATAAGAAATAATTTATTATTATATTAAGAGATATGGAATGATTTTTTTTACTATATTGAAGTTGAAGAGTGATTCAAGAAATAGAAAACGTAAATTTTGATCAAGCAAAGCGAATGTTGATAAATTATATTTTTCCTGCTAATTTAGAAATATAGGAGAATTAAGGATATGATTTATTATTGTACTAAAAGATGGAATAATTCTTTTTCTATATCAAGTTGAAAAACAATTCAGAAAACTGTAAATTGATCGAGTAAAGCGACTGCTAATAAATTGTTTTTCTTGCTCTTAAAAATATAGAGATGTGATTTAGTATTATACTTAGTATTAATTGTTAATAAATTGACGTTTAATACATATATTTTTTAATAATCACATTTATTAGTTACATTTATTTATTATAGTTATTAGAATATTTATATAGTTTAATAATTATATATTTCCTGCCAATTTAGAAATATAGGGGAACTAGAAATGTGATTTATTGTTATATTAAGAGATATAGAACGATAAATTGATTGATCAATCGGCTGATCTGGTTGCACCCGCATATTTTCCTTTTCCATCCATAGGGTGTCCCAAACTTGCCAGCACATATTTAAGACAAATATTGTGATGTTTTCGGCGTAAATATTTTGACGACTTTCCGTTAACGATTTAGAATGACAAACTGACAATAACGAACATTCTTCAATTAATCTCGAGCTACAATGAAAGTTTTCAATCTTATTATTAAAAGCCTAAATAACAGAAAACCTAAATAACTCGGGCTTCGATCTCACTATTAAATCCCAAGCGACAGTCTCCCAGTTTCGATCTTGCGATTGAAAACCTAGTGACAGAAATGACAAACACAACATCTCCAAGTTTATTTAAAGCCCGTTTTCACTATTTATAATTATGTAAATAGTAAAGGTTACTAAGAAATATTCATGAATGAATTTCAGTGATGAAATTTTTTATAACCTTTAATCTATAATAGTTTAGGTAACCATATATTATGAAAAGGCTTGTTGATGAATTTGATCATTTTACACTATACCGGATTAGCACATTAAAGGCTGCTTTATAAAGTATTAAATGCAGTGGCATAATATAATCAACTTTGACAATAAAATAATACATGTATATCTTGTCAAATAACGTGACGATGTTATCACAAATTGAATTGTTTAAAATATTTACATTTGTTACACTTATCTTTTTAGTTTTAACTTTTTAGTTTAGTATAATTCAGTGTAATCTAATCCAACGTAAAGTCTGTCACTCTACAACACATTAGAGATCGAAAAATTGAAAATTAGATTCAGCTAATCAGAATGAAACGAATTAAAATTAAAATTATCCGACTGGTTGAATTCCAGTTTCTAATCCACAATTCTCAGTTTCCAGAACGTAGTGTGACACGAATTTTATGCAAGTGACCAAATTTGGTACAAGAATCCATTAAGTAACTTGCACGAGCGACACCTTGTTTTATATAACACCTGGAGCACAGATTTAGAAAGGAATCGCCAGGTTGACAATTCCAGAACGCGTTGAATCGCGTTCTCCACTTTCGTTGCCCCTGATTACGCTTGTCAGCAGTCGTACTCATGATGACTGTAAGAACGGGACGGGAAGTGGTGTCGGGTGTTCCGCGGTTCGACACGTCCATCCCGAACCCATCTTGATACCCGCAATACGGGCGTCTTCACCTCTCACTAAATCGTACAGAGGTTACGGTGCACGATGGTATCCATCCGCACGTTCGCCCTGCGGCGCCTTTCTCGTTGAGAAATCCTTGGACGTTCATTCTCGTCGCACATGTAGCGTTTAAACGTGGTCGCCGCTAGTCCTGCGTTCGTGTCGATCACGATCGTCACGAATAACATAGGTACAGTTTGTGACGAAGAAAAGACACGAGAGGAGTACCGTTGTTGAAGCACGTTTCTCACACGGAGAAAATTAATTTGGCACGCTATTAATCGAAAACTTTATTAACTCCAATTTTTTTTCACGTGCAAATTTTTGTAATTTCTCTGCATTTTTCTAGCATTTTTTTCGACGATAAATTGGTGTACATATTACATGGAAAAGACGGCTAAAATATCTAAAAATTTGTTTTAGTTAAATACAGATCTAAAAATAATTTTGTTGGACTATTAAAATAATTATATAGGACACTCAATGTTGTTAAATAATGTCGTGTCAAATTATATCCAACTTGAATTATTTCTGTGACTCGCCATTGTTTCTGCTCAATATGTAGCTAATTTAACTAAAATAATAGCGTTAAACAATTTAACATAAGAAAATTTATTAAATTTAACTCAAATTTAGTTTATTATTTTTAAGTTTTACTAATTGCAGAAATGGATTGATTTACATTTTGACATACATGAAACGTTACGTGGAAAGAACGATTTTGCTAAATTATCTAAAACAATTTAACCATATACGGATCTAAAAATAATTTTGTTGAATCATCAAAATAATTATATAGAAACCTCAAGCATGATGAGCAATGCTGCAAAAAATTTAGATAATTTTAGCAGCTTTTTATCAGCTTAACTCATAATTATTTTGATGGTTGAACAAAATTATTTTTAGATCTAAATCCACTTAAATTTTTAAATACTTTTCCAAAATCGTTCTTTCCAGGCACAATTATTTTAAGACGTGAACTAATTGTGTTTTTAATTCTTTCTTGTTACACTTGTAAAAATAAGAGAATCGAACGTGCTAATGGTTATGAATTACACGTCTTTTAAAGAAAGCTGTCGACAGTTTTGAATTAATGTCTTTCGATCGTCAGATACGTTTGTATTTATTGGCCCGAAGTGACAGCGCTACGTTTCGACATTGTATATATATTTTCTTGGTGATGTCATCCGGTATTTTATTCTGCGGCGGAATTGAATCATCGCGGTCCTCTGTTTTTTTTTTTATGCGGAAAGGATTTATTATTCTCGGATACACAGACTCATACAATAAGGATTATCGCGGTAAACTGTATGGCTTCCTTCCGCATTGTTGATATTTCAATGACTGTCAATCTTAAATCTTATTTGCAGGTCGTTGTAAAACAAACGAAAATCTGGATGTTTATCTTTGACGAATAATTATTTAAGAGAGTGACGCAATATATAATGTCATTTAAATATACGTATAATTATTTAATTGTTTTTCATTTATCTCTCAGTACATTTATACACCTCTGTCGATGGCATTAAGTAAATCGGTTAAACAAACAGGAACATGTAGGTGCATTTATATTTAATTTAATTCGTTATTATATTATGTTGTTACACATGTAAAAAAAAAAATAAAAACGGTCTGCAAAAAAATATTCCTACAGTGCGATTAAGATCATAACAATTTTTTTAAGATCATAATTTTAAGAGTTAAGAAGTACGATTAAGATTATAAAAATTTTTAACACTGTAATCTCAAAAATTAAGATTATAATCTTAAAAAAAGTTTACGTTCTTAATTGTATTGTATTTATGTTTACATTCTTAATTGAGATAAAAATTGTTAAGATATTAATCTTAAGAATTAAGATTATAACAATTAGTTTTGAAATGAGTTTTTAAATCGCTGCTTTTTTCGTAGAATTCTGAATCTCAGACTCAATGACACACTAAATCGTATGTTCGGAAGGCAGAAGAATTGAGTACAACGGATTGGATTTTCTCTGAGGAAACATCGGTTTCCGGGCTTTGTTCCGCAAAAATCATCGTCGCGATTCTCTTGGAAGGAGACCGGACGTTCGTCACATAGGTCAGCTATTAATTACACGTGTATTGAACTCGGCGTACAGTTTAATTACAGCGATCTATGACCTTGCATCTCGTGTGACGACACTCACAAACAAATCTACCGTGTAAATTATCGCGCAAATAAAAAGTAGCCACTCTTAGGGAAATAATCATATAAAGGATTTATTTTACATTTTTATTTTACACTATTCTTTTATATTACACTTAAAATCCAAGTGTGTAAAAAGTGATTACAACATGTGTAATTAATTTTCCGTATAAAAGTGACACTATACGTTTAAATATGTAAATCTATTTTTGTATGTAGTTTATCTTTACACGGAAAGCTAATCGCACATACACATTGTAATCACTTTTTACACACTTTGATTTGCAGCGTACTTTATACGTTACGGCAAATTAAAAATTAATTACGAGGTTAAAAGATCAATGCGATCCGTAATCAGTAATCGATTAGAGTTTATCGATGAAATGAATCGGATTATTATTAGAACTATCGAGAATTCTCACGCATTTAACGATTAAGATATTCACATGTCTTACGTCGATTTCGAATTCTTTCGCGAAGACAAGATCTTTGTCGCGCCCGAATCGTTACATTTCATATAAATAGTAGTTACAGCTGAGCGTTAAGTGGCGTTAAATGGTGATAAGCATTTAAATGCCGGGACATGATTCCGTATATTATTTGCCCAATGTCAAGATCGCATCGAATGTAAACACGGGATGATAATTAAACAGTCGTATCTAGCCGTAAGATGTGACGGCTGTGATGCCCGTATCAGTACGACAAGGCTTTTGAAGCCTATTGATTGGCTGCATGACAGAATGGTTCTCGGACATCTCTATCCTGCAGCCAATCAATAGGCTTCAACAGTTTTGGATGCGTTCGAAGAAACTTTATTCGTTATATTATTTAGCACTACGAGATGTCCTCAGAGCTGCAGATAACGCTAACAAACACAATCATGATGTCACTAATGATAGCGTTTTACATCATAACTGCAGATTATCGACATTATATTCCTTCCAAGATAGTCAGAGAAGGAAAGGATAGCTTTTTTCCATTTTTACAAGTATCTTAAAATTATTTTGTTTTACCCAAATTTTCTTTGTTTACAAATGGACACACGTAGGAAACTTCACCGTGTTATTTCTCGCTTATGACATCATGATCCAATATGGCCGCAGTGACTACATAGGAGTTTTAATATCAGCTCGAGCAATCGCTAACGGAATTCGCCCTTATCGTAAAAGCGAATAAAACATTAGAGATTAATTAAGATAAATCGATAGCGCAGTTTGGTAGATCGATAGCGTATTTCTAATGCCTGGCCACGCTCGAGATACGATACGCTGTACAAATAAATGTTTTTAAACGGACGTGACGCTTGAACGATCGTGAATCGTAAAAGATATACTAATTGCCTGATGGTTTTTCATCTTTTTTATACCGTTTGTATCAGCAAGGTCGAACAGAATATCGTTTCATATCGTAGTTGCATAAATAGCTTCTCTAATACGACTATTAGGTGTCTCATACGTCATTATGATGACGTAACGCTTTGTTCATTGCTTAAATAATAACGAACATTTTACATTAACATAATTAATATACCCCGAGAAAAAAATATAATCAATTTTAATAAATATTTAGTTCAATACTGCCAACTAAACATTTACTTACAATAAATAAATATTTGTTCAGTAAAAAAAATGATTGTTAATTCAAATTAATGTTTCTTGTATCAAATAAATATATCTTTATACTTATTAAATATTTAGTTAGCAGTATTTAATTAAATATTTATTAAAATTGACTATATTTTTTTTTTCAGTGTAATAATCGTCATAATAATTTCTTAATAATTTTCATCCAGTTGATTAATCTTTTCAGACCTGTCTTGAATGTCACCATGATAAAAAAATACTAGACCATGTTAAAAAAAATTTTTAATTCAAAGGCACTTTAATAAGTAATTCATAATACTAAAAATTGTTTTTTTCAAAATTTTGACTTTTCCAACATACGTTTTTATATACTTTTGATTTCAGGTGATAGAACTAAATAATTTCAATGGATGTCTTCAAATTTGATGTACGTTACAAGGTACACAGGGTCTGAAGGGATTAAAGTATTTTGATTAAGAGGAATTCCTTTAAATTGCCATAATTATTTTATTCATCCTTCCGGTTGCCGTTATCGATAAATGGCGCGTATCCCATTCTCCGCGTCGTCGACCTTTCGACGAGTGCGCGACGAGAGCCGAGAGGCGAGAGATAACGGACGGTTCAACGAACGTCTGGACGGTGGGTTGGGTCCTAGATGATAAAGGGGGAATGCTAGACGACGGGACAGATCACGACGATCGGACACTCCTCGGTGATCGCGGCGGATGTCGGTCACGCGGAGGATTTGCATTACAACCCGTTGTCCCCCTCCCTGCGGCTCGTCGTCCGGGTTTTAAATCCGGCGCTGGAAAGAGCCAGACGGAGATCAAAGGGGGGATTACGAAAGTTTACCGAAAGATTGGCAAGCTCGCGAACATTAGAGTAACGAGTGGTAACAGGTAGTTGAATGCCCGTGTTACAGCCCGCATCCAAGGCGTGTACACGCAACGACAGGCTTATGTAACCTTATATGGCTGACTGTTATTCCTACATTGAAAAAAAAATTTATTATTAATCCTAATAAATGTTTTTTGAATATTTATAAGTAAACGTTTACTGACTTTTGACATATATTTATTTGATACAAGAATCATTAATTTGATTTAACTATCGGTTTTTTTTTATTGAGTAAATATTTATTTACTATAAGTAAATGTTTACTTACAAATATTTAAAAAAATATTTATCAAGATATAGTAAATTTTTTTCCAGTGTACACGAAAAGAATTATTTTATTGAAGTATCTAAAAATTTAGCTAGATGTAAATTTGAAAATAATTTTGTTTGACCTATCAAAATAATTTTATAACAAAGCTCAAGAGCTGATTCTTTATTATAAAATTATTTTGGTTGTACAAAATTATTTTTCAAAAAAAATTATAATTTCGAAACGATATTTTCTTCTTTCATATATTAAGTGCAGAAAATGAGGTCAATCCTGCATTAATTCTTACATAAAATAATTTTTATTTACGTAGAGATTTATTTTATACACCGGATGTAGGGTGACGTGGGTATTAAGAATTCTTTGCATAATTGTTTCTTGTGCAACAAGATATATCTATTTCTATCTTCTATATCTATCTTCTAGTTTACGATAATGATGATAATAATAATTAGCTGCACAATTGTGAAACTTGTCACTGAAGGGCCGCATCTTCATTACGGTGAAAGTAACTCATCTAACAATGAGTTTGCATCCGGTATTTAATGCGTCGCTGGTAATTAAAATTAACTATTGTGACGTTAAAATTCTTGTGTGAATTAATTACGTTGTCAATAAAGATTATAATCTTATTATTTAATAAAAAGACGTTTTTATATATATTTTATATCATTATTTTTATTATTTTTTTCATTGCTACTCTCTAAATCTGAATCAGTGGATAATCACTGATATCAGTGCCAAGTATGCCACTGGTAATCAGTGAATTAAATGTGAGATCCCTAACCTAGCTAATCTTTATTATGTGATCTAACTAACTTGTTTTAGTGCTTAAATTTAATGAATATGGTATTGGAAGATTGAAATTAACGTGCAAATATTAGTATTTTATATAACGCTCTCTCTCTCTCTCTCTCAAACATTTTTTCTTTTTTAGTTGAACTTCACTGATTATCAGTGTCAAGTATGCCACTGGGTAATTAGTGACTATCCACTAATTCAGATTTAGAGAGTATTTACATTTTTATAATTTCCTTTTTCTTGAATTTTTTTGAATTAATTAAAATACGTTATATATTAATTAAAATAACAATATATCGCCGTGAATTGTAAAATGGTTATTTAAATTCATTTATATATACATAAAATTTTATACATGATCTTATTATTTTAATATATTTCACGACTGCGAGGAGGAAGTTTACGCAATCTTTGTGCATACGTCAACATCGTTGTTTATAAAATCTTTATTATTATGATTTATATTATACTTAAAATAGCGTGACGAATCGCAATGTTCGCAGAACAGTATCTCGATATCAATTAGAATCGATGATAAATCCTTTGATGGAATTATCTATTTTTAATCTCGTGTTAAGTGTAGACTTCACTTTTCAGAAGAAGTTTCACTTAAAGTTTAATTAACGTTGTGTAATTTAATTTTATCTAAAAATCATGTGTGATTAAAGTTTAGAAAATTAAACTAGGATCTATCTTCAAGGATTTATCAGCGTTCTGATAACATTCACAATTGACAACGAATGATATACATCGCTTGTTGCGAACGCATTTCCGCACATAAAGTCAATACTCATTGTCAGCTTTTTTAAAGTCTGATTTATATCGGATTAATTACATGCATATGTCTATGTCTGATACAGAATGATTTAATTGATGTTCTATAGAAACATACATGATTTAACATCTTATTTAACATCTCAAGATCTAGTCGATTCTGTTGTAATTAAACGTTTGATCAAATGCTGTAATTATCTGCTAACATGTTTGAACGTTATGACATTAACAAGGTATAAAGAGTATAATTTTCAATGATGGTATCACGATACCAGATGCTGTCTAAATATGAAAATCACGTGAAGACTTCATCCATGTATCCAAAGAATTAGAATATGACGAATTCGAATGCGCTTCGCAAATTCGAGCATATCAATTATTTTCATTTAAGGAACTCGATTTTAATCAATATTCTATGTCTGTTTCAGAGGGATAATTTCGCCGTTTAGCACGAAAAACCACAACTGCCACGATGCCGAAATCGGTATGTATCACACTTAAAATATCTTAAATTATCTTATTAGTATTAAAATTTTTGGAGATGATTTTAGAAGAAGACGATTTTATAATCTAGGACATTAATCCATAATTGGTTTCTGATAAAAAATCTTGAAACGCAACAGTACTCACTTTAATAATTAACAGTAATCCAATATTTTGTATTATTGTTGTGAGAAAAGATTTAAAAGAATGAGAAGCAAGTGAAAGACATTAGGAAAAATACTGGGAAGATATTATCTGAAAATAATTCAAGTAATAAGCTCAATAGATAGTAAATCAATAACATAATAAAAGGAGGATTAATAAGTCAAGCTGGATGGTCGTGCTAAATTAATAACAATCAAATATTAAATACACACACACACACACACACACACACACACACACACACACACACACACACACACACACACACACACACACACACACACACACATTCATTGCGAATGTCTCTGTGACAATGACTCATTGTCACACAGCCACTCACATTAGTTATAACATTTTCCTGACAGCCAATATACAACAGTATGGCTCTAACTTAGTTTTAACGTAGACAGAAATAGTTGTTTTAACGTAGACAGAAATAGTCTTTTGGAAATAGACTGTAATCGCGATTGTTCATTGCAAGACAACTCAATGAGAAGAATAGGGGGACATTTTTCATCTTCACCAGACCTTTATATCAAGAAATTCAACAAAGAACTCTAAAATTTGAAGTATTTATTAAATTTATATAATGATTTGTTAACTGCGCGGAGAATAACCTTTTGATGGGTCGGAATGTTATGTTTGCGTTGCAAGAATTTTAATTTTTAGACCTTATGTTTCTAATCTTTATTATATTGTTTTGAAATCGATAATTGATTATTATTAATTTGGTACGACCCAGGAGATCATTAGCTCCCCTTTCATTAACTCATTGATATATTATCCGAATATTACAATTGCGATTTTTTTTTTTGCAATTTTATTCGCAGAATACCGTCGAATCGAGCTTTACAATACCTATCTAAAACGTCACGCGTTCACTTTGTAGTAATTTCTTGCGATAAGATAGGTATTCGACTTGTTCGCACGACTTGTGACGGCCATACATCTCGCGATGTTGGCAACATTTGAGCTTTTCAAAAGTCAAATTAATCGACTCCGTGAAATAAGAAAATAGAGAAGAATTGTAAACTGATAAAATTAAGAAATCTACAGAAAGTGAAGCTGATCTCAGTTTAACTCCTGAAAGATTTCGTTCGTTCGGAGAGGAAGCGGAAAAGACGAGGATCAACTGATATTTTAATTAATTTAACTCGTAACTGGGACGTATAGATCCTGGTGATCCTGGAACATTTTTCTAATTATCGTACTATATTTATGCTAATTGTAAGTCAAGTGTTGCAATTTTTTATATAGTTGAAAATTTTCAAACTTAAAACTAATAACAAAAAACTTTAGTGGGTCCACATGTTCTTTTAACGTTACAAAAACTATGTGCTTCTGTTACGGGTTAATTTTTGTCGCTTTTTTTTTTGTAAATCACAAACATATGCATGATACTCGTAATTTGGTGTAATTAAACTGATGTCGGTGACCGGATAGACATGCATACTTTGCACTTGATGTTCGAATAAAACGGAAGAAGATACACATCTTTCTGTTCGATACAGCAAAGCAATGAATGATGAACGGAATCTGTGTTATTTCCTGCAGGCCATGAAGGTACACCGCTTTTAAGACGGCTTTATCTTCTTTTTTAACATTATTACGCAAGATATCTTTTATTACAATCAGCGGTAATAAACACTCGTGAGCAAAAATAACCATTATGCAGAAATAACCATGTGTTGTGACTCGTCTGCCATTCACGACTGAATTTCTTTTTTATGTAACTTCATTATGTAATTCGTGACACGTATACAAAAAGACAATGGTCTTCCAAGTCGCGTGTAAGTCTATTTCTTTTTGGATTAAAAAAGAAACTACTTTCCCATTTAATTCTCCGCACAATCGAACGTGGTTTCACGCTCTTTCACGAAATTCGAATTGTTTACGTGAAACGAGCGATCGTCTATTTAAATCAAGATACTTATTTACATAAAACTGAAGCGATTGCGTTGCATAACGCGAAACTGATTTAAAGCCGCAGCACAAACTTTTGCATAACGCATAAGAAAATTAAGAGTCCTTTATTTTCATCCCTAGAATGAAAATAAAAGACTGCATCAATACAGACTTTTGCATAACACTGCATAACACATGAAGTCGTGATCAAACTATAGATTGAGATTGAGATTGGAATTTAATCAATCAAAGCAAAACTCACTAAACTTGAGATTGTTTTTTCTTTCTTTTTATTGGTTAAATTCCAATCCAATCTCAATCTCTAGTCTGATTATGGCAGACGTAAGGCATAAGAAAATCAACTAATCAGTGTATGAAATAAAAGACTGATTAATTGATTTATTATGTCTTATGCGTTATATAGCGTAAAGCTTGTCATACATGAAATGTATAACAGAGCATAAGCATAACAGCGACTTTATGCAGCTTATGTCATTTTGTGCGCTCTTGAGGGCTCTTACACTGAGAGAAATGTTTTGTGTGATGTCTTACAAAAATTTTCTTACTATTTAATTAAAAAATTTTATTGTTCTAACAATTAAATTTTGGTTAGGACAAAAAAATTTTTTAATTAAAAAATAAGAAAGTTTTTGTAAGTCACACATCAATAAAACAAATGGTTATTCATAGAAAACATTTCTCTCAGCGTATAAGACCGGAGAACAGACCTTTGCATAACACGTAATGCATAAAGCATAAGAAAATCAATCAGAATCTTTTATTTCATGGAAAGGAAGGAAATGAAGGACTTCGATTGATCCATTTTCTTAGGTATTATTTATTGCGTTATATATAAGTTTGGACTACGGTCTAAAGGACTTTAAACGGATATAATTATTAAGGATTCTCGAAATTAAAGGACTTTGATAGGTAATTCCCTTCTGCGTTATGCATTATGCAAAAGTCTATGCTACAGTCTTATAAACTCGAGGAAAAAAATCAAGTACTGAATTATTTCCATCGTTCTTGGTCTTAAAAGTCGAGCGGAAAATAGCATCAACGATCGCTGAGACGAATCTAAAATTTTCATTCTCTTATTTTATTCATTGCGCCTTTCAATCGGATATCTCGTGCCGTGTATAGGTCGGCGACGTAAGGAATGATGTGTCGTAACGTGAAAGGCATCGGCCTTTAACGCATCCGAGAGGTCGTCGAGTGTCCTACTCGCTCGACTGCCGGAAGCTTTTGGACTTTGCGCATTTATTTTTTGAGAGAAGAATTTTTTTTTTCAGAACGCTAGTTTTCACGCAACTCTATGCGACTCGTAACGATCAGACGATCAGGACGAGAGGCATAAAAATTGAACCGACAAAAATTGATTGCGTTCAGCAGAAAAAGCAGCAACTATTGTAAGATTTTTTAATACAATTTGTTCTTGCCCCCCTTAATTCCTCACTGGATCTAAATGTATATACATTGAAAGAAAAGTGTTTGGTATTTGTGACATGTAGGTAGGATAATTATGGTTAGAAACTCTACTTTATGTAGTTATTACTGCTGTAATGTTAGTAATAGTAACTATATATGTATACTATACTTTTCTTAAACACGAAAAAATTGTACTATAAATTATGATAATTTTAAATATTAATATAACAAAATATCAAGATAAAAGTAAATAAAATAAATATTTTTATTCGTTAAATGCAATCGCAATTGTAGAGATGTAACTTTTTTATTTTTTATTAAACTTTTTTATTAAAATCATTTACTATTTATATATGATAATAATACTAAAAATATGTTAAGAAAAAATTAAAGATTTCTAAGCAATGTGACTTATTTATATCACAATTGACTATATTTGCATGTTAAAACAATTATAAATATGTATTCTCAAAAAAGATTATAAGTTATAGTTAAATTATGGTAATTTGCAAGAATCTTACAACAGTTGCAAACTGTTTTTTCTGCTGAATGCAGCCAGATATCTCGGACCTTGATGTCATAGCTGATGTCGCAAATAAAATTGATAGTACCATTAGGTAACGCTATAAGACTCGTAGCGTCATTGAAACGCCCATTGAACAACGTTAAATCCATGTCACATCCATTAGAAATTGAAAATTGCGAATCGGATATTAGAATCCAGCCAATTAAAACGGATTAAAATTAAAATGATCTCTAACTGGTTTAATTCTAATTTTCAATTCGTAATTCTCAATCTCCAATGCGTAGTGTTATACGGATTTTATGCTAAGGGGTGACCAATCGTCCAAAATTAGGAAGGACAGTCCCAAATTTTAACTCTTTATCCCACTTTACAACACGTCCTAAATTAAGGACATGATTATGAATTTTCCCTTTTTTAAATGCGAAAGTATTAAGTACACTGAGAAAAAAAATTTGTTCAACTAACTAAACACATTTAGCAGATTTGGTTAATTCAACAAATTTTATTTAATTGAATTTAATCTTAATCTGCTTAACAAGCTGTTCAATGTTAAACAGACTACGGTTAAATTCGATTAAATAAAATTTGTTGAATTAACCAAATCTGCAAACAACTAAATGTGTTCAGTTAGTTGAACAAATTTTTTTCTTAGTGTATGGAATATAATTTTTAAGTAACGTGTGAAGAATTTTATGATTTTTTATTTAAAACCCAGATATTATAACATTCAGTAGAAAAGTGTAATTTAAAAAAATAAAATGTGATCTCGTAACTTGATGTATTTTTAGTTATAAGTTATTAGTTATTTACAAATATAATATTATATGTGTTTGACTAACAATTTTAAAAAAACGTTCATCTGTTAAATTTTAATTACAATTAATATTGATTTTTTTTAAATATCCCTTTTTCCCTTTTTAAAAAATTGATCACTTTACTTTATATCCGTATCAGACTGAAGATTGAAATTGAATTTAATCACATCGAAGCCAATTCATTAAACTTGATGATTTTCTTTCTTCTAATTGAATTCTTGTGATTAAATTCAATCTCTATCTCTAATCCGATATGGGCATTACAACGTCGATCTCGTGAAACAGGATCCTGCTCGTTCGCCGGGACATCCTGCGTTAACTCGATACGAATAGCATGCAGCCGCGCCACATTCTCTACGCCTACGCTCCGTATTGTACCAGGAACGCAATCTGACTGTCGCACAGAGATGAATAAATAACGCGCGCGCGTTTGAACTTCCTCGTCCTCGGGAAGTCCGTCGGCAGAAGGGAAAAAATTATGCAACGAATCAGCGTGCTCGCGCGCGTGATGAGAGGACGGTTGCAACGGTCGCTCGCTCGCAGCAGTTCGCACTTCGCAAATCGGTCGGGCGGTTTCCGAAAAACGCGTTGAGCCAGGCGGAGTCGGTTCCTTTCGCGGCACCCGGTATCTGCCGGCGCGCGCGGCGCGCCGTGATTGGTCGCCGTTGTCGCGCCGCCGATCGGCATGTCCCACGTGACCACGCTCGCGCCGCCGCGGAATTCAGAGCGGGAGAAGCGTTGCAGCGTTGAGCGTCGCGTGGAAGAAGGGGGAGATATAGCTGGCAGTTGCACTTGTGTTTTGTATTTCGGACCCATTGTCCGGAGACCGGCTTGAAGGCCGATCGCGTTAGCTCGTTTCGCTCGATCACGTCAATTTTGCATCATCGATTAAGTACTGTCACTGTGTCGCGTTTCGAAGTTTCTTGTGTTCGCCGAGTACTCTCTTCGCGACGTGATTTTCGCAATTTTCGATTCTCGCTGTGCGCCGTGAAGGTGTTCGACGAATCTCGCAGACATGGTTGCCGGCGGCAAGATGGTAAGCCGGCCGTTACCGGCGCGACTAGTTTGAACTTCATTCTGTATACTGGCGATAGAAATATATCGAGATTGCGGCAATTTTGCGGAACAGGCTTGCCCTCGAAGAAACATCTCGCAGTTAGATTTCTTGTTTTCACGAGATATCGATCAAATGTCCATTTCTATCAATATAGATTGGTTTCAATTTCGGTTTAATTTACTTTGATCTTTTTCTAATTCTAAGAATTAAAAAAAGATAAAGGTCTCTATTTTCTGTTATTTTTAACAACGCCGGTATTGCGCGAGTTTTATATATAGTAAAAGAATTACGCAACGATAACAAAGAAAAATAATGTATGCAAGCAATAATTACTTTGTTTCAAGTATTTCAAAAATATCATATATTCGCAAATATTACAACTTCACAAGTTAAATTTATTCAAAATATATTCTGAATCCTAATAATTTTAATATTTCATCAAGATCAGTAAATTAAAATAAATTCGATTTGCTTATTACATGAAGTAGATCATTTTCGATCAATTTTATGATATTCTTCAAAAGAAAATAAATACATAGTGAGTTTTTCTAAAATTATTAATAAGTATGTTAAGATTAATTATTATCAAGAAAACATTCTTTTTAAAGATAATCGTTATTTAAAAAGTAAGAAAGTAAATTGAGTAGTTTTCTCAACAATATTTGAACAACATATCTCAGTGATATTTCTCTTTACCGGCACTGTCATTAATACCCGTTTTTACCAATGTATAGATTAACTTTAATCTCGATTCAACTTACTCATCTTTTTCTAATTCTTAGAACTAGATGAAGATTAAGAGTTAATTGAATCGAAATTAAAATTAAATTACATTTGTACACTGAAAAAAAAGATTGGCTGCTGCAGCAAATTAGATGGTAAAATATGGCATAGCATTTTTAATTGGTTACGGCAGCCAATTTTTGGTTGTGTTAGCCTATCAAAATCCTTTACTGACATTGCGGATCGGCTAACGCAAC